TATGTAGTTCGCGTATCGTTGTGAAACGGTTAGATCGCTATCGCGCGTTCGTGTCAGCATTCAAACACCCGTGGCCGTTCTTAAGGCGTCGTGATGAAGCAAGTATTAAGAACTATTCCGAGCCGAGAAACGGAGGTGACAAGAGTAGAGAAGCATCGATTGACGAAGAACGGAGCAAGGGTCAAAGCTCCCGAGCTCCAACGCTGGCAGCCAGAAAAGTGTAGAAGCTTGACTACAAAATGGTCACGAAGACGTATTATCGAAGTCGATCAGCTACCGCAGAGTCTTCAATCTGGATCGAGCAGGATCGAGGAGATCCAACCTCCACTTTCCGATAACACTTTTTCTTTCTTTCCCGGGGACGAAGCTGTTGAGGCGAACGACGATGATTAACTGGAATGACGAGGCGGCAATTAGACTCGTTACCTGCCCTGCCCTATCGTTATTGGGGCGCTCCGTGCAACACATGCACAGGGCCTCGCGTTCCTCGCATGCACCGCGGTCCGCGATAACAATCTAATTGATATTTACGGCTGGCCTAGTGCATCCAGGTATTTTTAGGCTGGCGCTAAGTCAGCGCCATGTAAAGCGCACTTGAAGCGGCCGTAGCAACGACCCCGGGAACACGCGACGAACGCGCTGACAGAACCACGGGGATCGGTAATGCGCACGAAAATGCTCCGTTATATAAACACCGGTCTCGCGAGGCGGTAGAAATCTTTGTACGGAAACCGGGAGAGGGTTACGCGAGCTCCTTTCTTTCAACGCGGGATAGGGCACTTTCGAAGAAATTGCTTCGGAAGACGCGCGACCTCCTTAAATCTATTTTCTCTTATCCGGCCGATGGAAAAGTTCCGCGACTTCGTGAGTTAACCGATAATCGAATCAAGTATGAACCATTTTGATAGATCAGATTGTGGACAATACAGTTATGCCAGCGGTATAAACTTTCTTCATCTCCCGAGAAAGTTACGAAACTTTTACAGCGCGAAACAATATAGTCTCCTTAGCTTTACGACACCGAGATCTTCGGGAAGCTTGGTTGCTTCAAGAGGCGATGCGTAATCGGCGGATTTTTATGAAACGCAATACTTTAAATATTCACAGCAGAACTTACAGCCATTAAACACGCCGTCCAAATTGCATGTACGAGCTCATGTAGACGATATATCATCCTTTTTGATTTGAAGTTACAATCTGCTAAGAGATCAAGTCATCTTCTCGAGATATGGAATAGGCAACGCTAAGAGGACACAGTTATAGCAAAGTATTCAATACCCATTTACGAAATATGCAACATACTGACATCAATCGATCGTCTTATATTATAATGCCCGAAACATAATGTGCTCCGTGAAAAATACAAGACCCACTCGAATTTATTTAAAAAAACCGAAATCCTGCAAGCGTTACCGTAATGATTGCGTTCTCGTAGCTAATAACCACGCAGTTGATGCGACGTAAAGCCTTTAACCGAAAAGAAACAAGAAATGCCTTTGTTCTCTCAGAGGTCTTCAATTGAGATAAACACCCTATTGTTCCTTTCTAAACATTCTCCCGTAGAAGATCAAAGACGTTTGAAATGTATAAGACCCGACACGTGTAAACGGCCGGCCCGCGGAGGCCAAGGGCCGATAATTACAAGCCGACAATTATTCTCGAAGGAAACTTTGCATAAGTCACGCCCCGGCACGGGCTGTCCCGAAACGATTAGTTTGATTAACCGATAACTCCGGACGTCGTCGTATTTGCCGGCTAACGTATTCACGGCACGCCACTCAATAAGCCCGAATTATCGACAATTAAAGCGCAATCGTGGAAGCGGCCGGCCACCGAGCCCTGGCAATGGTCGTTTATGCAAATTCCCCGAGCGGATCAGCCGTGATCCTTTAAACCTGTTCCGTGAGAAACGTGTCCCGCTTTCAAAAACTGGCCGGACGGTATCTGGCCGGGCCGATCGGGGAAACTTTTAAACGACGTCGCTAATTAATCCGCGACTCCTTTTTTCATCGGGTTCGCTGCGAGCTCCGGCCTGTCCAAGAATGATCCAGACCGAGAGTTCCGTCTTCAGCGATTTCGATGTTGACAGCGAGAGGATCGATCCGCACGAACAATCTCCGACGGACGGGTTCCGAGGCTGGACGCAGAAATAGTTCGCATAATCGTCGTAGCCAATTTCCTCGGCGCACGATTTCGTGGTAATTTTCTTGCGGACCTCGTGGAATCTCGAATCGATCGCGGCACCGCGAGCAAGATCGTCGCGCCGGAATTTTCGCTGGAAGCGTCCTGGGCCCGGTTCCAGGAAGATTTACTGTTCTTTATATTTAGCGGACAAGGCGGCCCTTTATTGAGATGTCATCGGTTAACGCAAAACGAGAGTAATGCGATTGGCCCGGCTCGGTGGTCCCGGCCCGGCAAAAAGTCGCCCGGGCCCCCAGACTGGCCCGGGACTGGCCCAGAGACCGGGACCCGACTTCGGCCCGCGCCGCTGTTATAAATAAGCCCGCGGTATAGGAACGATTGCGAGCCCTACCGCGGCTACCGGCTACAGGTATGTAAACGCCGCAGGGACGGAGAAAGGGACGCCGGTGTGGTACTTCTGAATTAATTATTTGATTTTGCCCGTATGAATAATTCAACGTCCGGCAAGATGAATCTTGACCGACGCGCGTTTATACGCCCGAGGCTAGGCGGCGGAAAATGGGATTGCCTTTTGATTTATCGAGCCACGCCGGAAAGAAAAGCCGCGGATACTCGGCCCTTCCTCCTACCCCGTCTTCGGGGGTGAAGATTGAGGAGCCGGGAACGTGCAAATTTCATTACCTTATTGTTCCCTTCGCGAGCTCCTGTAATTTATTGTTCCCGATACCGCTTCTTTGATCGGTTGTCGTTGAACTCTCGGGAGCAACAGGAAAAGTCAGCAGATCGGACGCGATTTATCAAACGTGTTTCAGGGAGCGAAATTTATAAATCGGGTGCAGAAATGATACGAGAAACATTCGTTTCTTTTCGGTAAAGATTTTCAATCGCTGAAGATATTCTGCATTCAGCTGATAGAAGGTTGACACGATTTATACTTCTAAAGGGTAAAGTGGAGCGGATTATTGTGCGGTAATCAATTGCTGTGTCTTTGATTTGTTTGCGGGCATAATTAAGTTCATATTTATTTCAAATCTTTTTATTACTTTATTTTGTTTACTTTTTAAATAACAAAAATTTAGTATGTCGTACTCGATAAATAGAAAATTAATTATGCCTGAAAACGAATCAAAGGCGCGGCGATTGGTCACCCCACAGTAACCGGTTCCACTACCCTAGTTTTAAATCAAAATGATCTATTCGATCGATCGGGCCGTGGACTGGAAATACTATGCCAGAAATAGAAAGATAACATAGCAAGAGGATGTTAGTTCGATTGATTAATAAATAATAATTAAAGCGAAGATTTTTCTAGCAAGTGCAAATTATCTGTACTTAGAGATCATCCAGACATTCACGACCCTTTTAAATCATTTTAACGACTTAAACGTAACAACTCAGCATTTCGAAATGCTTTAAATACTTCTGCCGTTTCTGGACCTACTAATTATTTTCACAAGTGCATACATTTCGTAGCGTGCCAATAACCATCGCGTACCAACCTTGGCTCTGCGTTCTCCGATCGGTCATTCCTCGAATCTCGGGAAACGAGCTTGCTGGTAACGATAATGAAGAATTACGTTTAATGCGATAATTGAATGTTCGATGATAATTCTGCTGGTTAACATCCATACGCATTATCTGTATAGGTGATCGAGCAACCTGGGTCCGAGCCGCGCGAAATAAAAGTATACCGTCAGCGGCGGTAATCGATCTGTTACATGAGTCAGTTCCTGCGACGAGCCGAGCGTGTCCGTAGCACATTAATTATTATTGCGATAGTCCGGGGCAGAGCTGTCTTTTTCTTTTCGTTAAGCCCGGGCTTAGGGAACCGGCCACGCCTTGCGGTCATTATTCATCCGATAGCGTACACCGATTCGTGATTTTTGACGGAATCCGCGAAAAACCCGCCGACGAAATAAAAGAAATCGAAAGTGGTGTTCCCGCCCTGTTCGTTATTAACCAGTGATTAACCTCTTGACAACATACTCTATCTTTCCAGTCCGTGGCCGTGTAGCACATATTTTGGAGCCTTTTGCCATTTCGATCGGACAACTTTTCAGACTTTCAACCCTTTTAGTGCCGAACTACGATGTATCGTTGTTGACCACACTTGAGAAATTGTTGTTTCCTTAATAATTCGAATAAATAACAGTTCTCTTTCCTAATTTGTGTTCCTCTTTGAATGTTCAATTTTATACGTTCTTTCTTTCTCTTTCGATCGCCATTAAAAGATTGAAAAGTATTAAAATTTTCATCGAGCATAATTTTAATAAAATTTGCACTTGCTTGACTTCTGCGTCAAGGTATTCAGTTGTTGATACAGAGAAAACATTCTATCTTGTGTGAGATTTACAAATGCGAAGGTTCGTGACAAAGTTTGTAGCAGAAAGAAACCGTGGGCTGAGAACCACCGAATATGAATGATGTGGTGGGGACAGGAAGCTCCTCCCACGCAGTGGTGGGGACACAAAGCAGTACCCAAGAGTTGCAGCAGCTTAGCAAACGCTATTATTTTATATTCACCCGGTCGACGCGCAGCTGCGATCTAAAGTAGAAGTCACTGGCACACCCAGTTGATTTTAATTAAACAAACGTCGCGACTACAATTATATTATCTTACTCGAAGAACAGTTGCGCTTTCATCCGGTGTTCATCGTCGTCTAGGGATTAAATCAAAGAAAGAGAGAGAGAGAGAGAGAGAGAGAGAGAGCAAAGGGAGAGGGAGTCAAAGGGATATATATATGTAGATAGAGCATAGAGCAAGACGATCATGGTAACAAGCGGAGAAGTCGATTCGCCGTAGCGATTCGTCTCTCTCCGCGAATCGAATCCGACGTTATCGCAAACACACGTTTCAGGGTACTTCGGCAAGTATCTGAACAAGTACAACGGCCTGTACATACCGCCGGGATGGCGAGAGTGGGGCGGCCTCATAATGAATTCACGGTACTACAACTACAGCGTGAACATGAACGGGAAGAAGATAAAGCACGGCTTCGAGTACAGCAAGGACTATTATCCGGACCTGATAGCGAACGACAGCGTGGCTTTTCTCAGACAGAGCAAACACAATTTCGCCCGGAAGCCGGTGATGCTCGTCGCGAGTTTCCCGGCGCCGCATGGACCGGAGGACTCCGCACCCCAGTTCTCCCATCTGTTCTTCAACGTCACCACTCACCAGTAAGTACCAGAAACTTTGTCATTGTGTTTGCCTTCGTTACCGGCCAGTCTCCTTCGACTGCCTTGCGCTGCTGCGTTGCCCTGCGTTGCCGAGCTGTAGCGGAGATCTGGGTCAACTCGTTAGCCCCGAGATCGGAGATCTGTTTGCAGTTCAATCATGCGCTTCCTGTCTGCAAGATTTTACTAATTCCGATCGACGCTTCCTATCTCTCGGCCGATCTTTGTAAAATCGTAGCAACACGTTTTTCGAACAGGATCCGTCTACTCACTTTGACGCGAGTAGTTTGCCTTGGACAGTCTAGTAAGAATCAGTCGGCAATAGCAAAGAAATAAGTGCAAGATCTATTTAATCTGTCACCCTTGCTTTCAGCTTTACCTTTTCCTTGTATTTAAAAGTTTATTTTAGTATTCGGAGCACGTTTAAGTATATTTTCGGAAAAATATTGGCAGTATCGTTAGTAACAATTAGACTACTGCTTTACAAAATATTGAAAACATTTAAAGAATTAAAAAATATTGTTGTATTATTTCAGTCTGATTAAAGTGACTAGGAACAAAAGTAAATGTCTGTATATGGCAATTAAGCGAAACTGTCTTTATTTTGTCTAAAAATCCGCTGTCTAGTTGTAATTAGTTTTAGATTATGCTTCCAGTGTGCTTTAGCTATGTATTTGATCATCCCATAAGTAACACAGTTTCCGGAAAAAGCATTACTATGACCTAATATTTTGAAGAAGAAAGATCGGATATTACAATTACCTAACTAACAATAGTTTCGAAAGCCTCGGCGAGCTAGAACCGATTGCAAGACCATCGTATGAAGTGTTCGAAGTAGACGTGGCCTCGATGCCCTTTGCATCTACGTCTCCACTGTCCCATAGGGCATTGCGTGCTCATGCCAACGCCAGATAGTGCAGCTCTGTCTGCGAGTCGTTACCTTCTCGCGAAATGGGTCTCGAGCCTCGCGATTGCAGGCAACTGGCTGCATTATTATTTACACACGTACCGCGCGTCCCTCTTTAAACGAGCTTTTCACCGACTCGCGTTAGTCGCAATTTACCTTCTTGCGCTGGGAACCGTATCATCAGGCCTCTGCCTTTCTAAAGATCCGCCCGTATAACGATTCTTCATCCCTTTCACCCGGAGCGCACGAGCTCGCGAGACGACGGCGCAGGCAAATGAAATATTTTAGGGTCCGTCGCGCGGGGCTCCTTATTAGTATCGACATTGTGAATGGGAGAACTGGAGGCAAGTGAAATGTCAACGACTATCCGAAGAAATGGTAAACAGACGCAGAACTGTACTCGTTTCTGTTCATTCAGAGGCCGCCTCGAGGCATCTCGAGTGCCGCCGAGCGATGAATTAAATTTATCAAAGCCTTCGAGACGGTTGTCTGACTCTGCGGTTTCGTGCACATGATGGGACTTGAAGCGATGCATTAGGGGAATCAGAATGCAAGCCGCAGGATGGCGCGTTAGATGATTTTAATTGCATCAATCGGTACGGATTCTCTATACCTCTGCTTAGTTTCGTTTCTTAAACAAATTGTTCAGTTTCAAGGTACATTTTCGAGACAAATGTTTTTAGACAATTTATGTGGCAACACTTATATCGTTATCGAACTGCGGATTTTAAAGTCGAGCTGCTTGCGTAGATCGCTTAATTCTACAAGAATTTTTACAGTTACCTATCTCATTCTTTAGCAGATCCAGTTGTTTCTTTCCACTTCGACTCGAGAGGTTTAACTCTTTGACTACCACGCCAACTGCCTCAAAAATTGCTGAAAATTAAGTATTTGATTCGATGAAATTAGAATTGGAAAGTTAAGTCGTATAACATCATTTACGTTTTCAACAATCCTTATGTTTCGCGGATCCTATTAAAGTTAGAAACGTATAACAGATTAGCGTAAAAACGAATATTCAAACTCGAGAAAATAATTTCGTAAATCACGTATGGGTGACGCGGCAGTTAAAGCGTTAAGGTGGCATTTCCCGGAGAAAGGGGTCGGAAACGACATCACGCGTGGATATTTCTAGATGACTGAACGCGCCGGTGGGTGTCATTTCCATTCACAATGTCGTACGCGCAACGGTACCATACGCGCGCTTCCTGACAATAAGGCTGGTTTCTCGGAACGAGCAAACGCGTGCCGGTCGTCCGACGTCCGGCGCGGTTCTGCGGACAACAATGCTCGATTCTCGACGGTCGAGAAGCACGTCGCGACCCGGAGAAGGTCGCCGAGGATTGTCTAGGCCTGCGACGAAATCCGCGAATGGCCGTTTTGTTTCGTGGACGAGTTTCGAGGGGCGAGGCCGAGGTGCGCGCGAGCGAAAGAAAGAAGGCGGAGGCTGAGAGAGAGAGAGAGAGAGAGAGAGAGAGAGAGAGAGAGCCGCGGGAGAGAGAAAGAGAGAGCCGCACTCTAGACTAGACAACCGGATAGATAACTGCAGCGACGGTGTGTCATCGTCGCGTGATGGAGTGCCCTAGACGGGTCGCAGCGCGCGAGCGAGCTAGCGAGCGATGAAAAGCACTAAAAACGCGTGCATCCCTCTCTGTAGTCTCGGTCTCGCCCCTCTGGACACAGCCAACGCCCGTCATTGTACCGGCCGTGATGCAGGTATTATGTTCACCTGTCTCTGTTCCGCGACAGAAGAAAAAAACGCACACAGGTGCGCGTACACAAGCACACGGGCTCTCCGTTCCCTTCAGTCTTCTCTCCACTAGCTGGACGCGAGTACCTGGCGACTACGAATCAGACGACGAGGAGAGAAACGCGTGACGTTTTCGCGAGGGATCTTTTGTGCACCCCGGGGACTACAGATTGCCTCATTGTACGGCCAGTATTTTTGTTAGACGCCGTTCCGCGATAAGCACCGTTCCCGGATCTTTCCTCCTCCGTTCCGCCCAATAGAAAACTCCCGGTTGATCGGCGAACGATACAGGGCAGAGGAGCCAATTACTGTGTCCTGTCGACGAGCTCCAGGAACTTTATCAATTTAATTTCTTAAGAACTTCGAGGTAAATTTCGAAGTTGCTTCTATCGATACCAATTTTCTCATGACAGAAATATCAAATATTCTTTGGATATCAAGAGAGAGAAGAAAAACGTTCTGCAGCCAGTGGCTGTGCGTTTCTAATCTGTAAAAATCAGTTACAGTGCTACCTCCCTGAACTGTGACTCTGAATAAATGTATGCAATCAAAATTTAATATTTAACACACTTTGCTGCCAAGTTTAAGCTAGCGTTCTATAAAAATCTTGGAATGATAAGGGTTATTTTCTATATAAATAAGTCAGCAGAGAAGTTCTCTTCAAAAATATGACAGAGATGATTCGAGATTCAAAGTTATAAACTAAAAACAAAAATTTAAATAAATAATCACTGTTTTGTTTTCCTGTAATCTTGATACGTTTTAATATAATATTAATATAATATTAACATTGTGATATCTCTTACCTAGAACGATTATATATATAATTTTACGGAATATTGATCTTCATTCGTTTAAATTTTCTTTTTTAAACTTAACTTTTTAAAGTTTAAAATTCCTTAAACTTTTTCATAAGCTTCACACAAAAAGTTCGTGAATTCGGTATCAAGAAATTGAAATAATTTTAACTTTAATTTAAATAAAAGAAATTTAATACGTCTTATTCGATAAATATAAAGTTAATTATGCTTGAGAATAAGGTACAGCAATTGGCTATCCTATAGTAACTGGCTCTTAAGCGCCGTACTCCTTTGAAAAACTCCTTCCTTTCTTCTTATGCCACTTTCAGCGCCTTTTACTTTCCGAAGCGAGTCTCGGCAAGAATTTTGTAAGGATTTGATCTCCCGATGATGTCATTACCCGGCCGAGGAAGACACGAGCACGTAGAGAATCATTCTCGGCTCCGGGTCTTCCTCCCTCTCGTTGCAACGGCTCCTTTATGTGGGTCGTTACCGTACCAACAAGACGACAAGCCGGAGTCCTAGCCGCGTATCTCTCCTCTCCGGGAAACGAACAGAGTTCTCTTCTCCGAGAGCCATTCATTACCGGATTCCCCGCGAAACTGGGCCAGAATCACCGATATACTCCGCGGCCCGTAGAATGCCCGAGCGCCGTTCATCATCGCATTGTGCACACAGATCGAAAGAGAATGCTCGACGCTGTCCCGCGGTAGAACACGCGAACAGCGAACCGATTGTTCGACCGGTGTGCCGACAGTTTTGCGGAACCGCGCGGCGCAAGTGAAATTCACGCTGCAATCGAAGTTGCAAATTTTCTGTTACCGTCGGTCAACCACCGGCGATGCCCGAACAAGTTAAATACTGCCTTGCTACATTTTGAGACGCTATAGTTCTTTTTTATTGCATTTATCTTAAAATAAACTTCTTAGCAAAGGTATACATTGTTCTAACTTAGTTTCGCCTGCAATAAAGATGTCTATTCACAAGAAACTGTACGCTACAAAAATTGTAAACGCACACTCATTTTTAATCAATCCTTGATGGCAAAGTTATCGTTGACTTTTGATGATTACGACTTTAAAACAAATGCCATAATAGAAAAGATTTGAATGCAATTTTGTAGCTTGAAGTTCACGTTTATAATACACGCGAAGAGAACATTATGTAACCCTACAATGATTTCACAGGGTTGCCTGCGGCCCTGCAATATTTTTAATTTGTAAACGTGTAAATAGATACTGAAACATCCAGGTTATATATTACTATATAACTTATAACATATGATACATAATAATAATAATAATAATAATATTTATAATATGTTTTATTATATTTTGAAAATAATAAATAATATTTTAATCGTTCAGATTTTATAATTTGGGTCGCCGCAATCCAACAATATTATTTATTCCATAAAATAAAAGAGGGTTGTTCTACGGTTAATACTAAAGTTAAACGAAGCGTGGAAGATGATACAAATGAACAAACAGCTAAGTTAATTGCTACCATAATAGCGTATGATCTAATAGATGAGCGATCGCAGTAA